ATGACCTGATTGTGTTGCTCTACAGTAAGCATTCGTTATGGTCCAGCTTTTATACTGCATTCTTTACTCACAAAAGAAGCAATAAAGAATGCCACCCAAACTCAGAAATACTCAAAAACATTTTTTATTGAACCCAATCAGATGTCTTTTTGGCTGGAATGCTACACCTACATATAAAGCTTTGATCTCATTTTGTTTTCAAGTCTTTTCAAACTCAGAAATGCTGAATAATGACCTTTTTCCTCTTTGAACCATGCTTGCAAACAGCAACACAGAGGTTTAAAGATGGATATGGACTGATTACTGACTGAAGAGTTGTGCAACAAAGTTTCACACACGTGTGTTAAAGATTCATAATTCTGCAAGTAATGTCTTTCAGCTGTGAACAGATGTCTCCCTTTTGTTTAACACAGTTAATCCAATCAGCTTTGGGGTCTCTTTATGAGATCTGTGTTAACTGTATTGAAAAAGGGTGTGAAGTGTATCCTGGGTTTACTAAGCATGTCTAAAGCACTATTCGGACGGGATTAATTTTACATGGGCACGTGGGGTAATGTCACTTTACCACAGGACGTCAGTAATATTAATGGCCGATTCGCACGGGATAAGAAATATCAGTAAAACTACCACAAGTGGGAGGGGTAAATCCATTCACGCACCGCCGTCCCCTCCTGCCGTCATGTGCGTATGATAGGACTGTCAAAAGCACCATGAAATTGAGTTCGAATATTTTCGAATTAATTTAGTAGAGTTCGAATAATATTAGAATTTATTATTATTATTATTAGTAGTAGTATTAGTAGGCTATTATTATTATTATTATTATTTATTTATTTATTTTTTACAAAAAAGCACACAAAAAATAAGATGCTTATTGCTGAGGCAATATGAACGTGACACTCGGATGAAAACACCCGTTCTGACCTCACTATAGTGCCAGGTATGACCAACTTCTGTCTCGCTATCTGAGCAATGTTTGGATACTTCAGTGCGTAGTTCTCCACCACAACAGTGGATCCTGGTCGGCTCATAGTGGTGTCTCATTCTGGTAGCCTAACGTTTCAACTCTTCTTCAAAAAGTGTAGGCAGGGAGGCAGCAGGTGCAACACTCTCCCTGTATGTCTCCCCGTACAGGTCACACATCGCGGACAGCGCAGTGGATGGTGTTGGCACAGCGTGCTCTTCCGTCGGCGCCTCTCCCTCCCTCTGCGTCCCGAACGGGATTCGCCGTGATATAGCCTACGACATTATTGATAGTATTAATTAATTATTAATGATATTCAAATTATCAAATTTAGGTTCGAACTTATAAAAAATATATATATTCGAATATATTTCTAACTTAGATTTTTTTTTTGACAGCCCTAACACACATATTTACAGCTGGTCTATTCGCACGGGATTAGTATTACCTGAGGTAATTGTCCGGGACCCTTTTACAGAAGGTAAAAGTCGCGGTAATCTTTACTGACATGGCACATTCGGACGGGACTAAAATCTCTGGTAATTATTACTTTACCCCACGTCCCTATATAAAACTAATCCCGTCCGAATAGGGCTTTAGTAATCAAGGAAAACTCTAGTTGTGTTACATTCGACCCTCTGTGTGCAAGATGGTGCCAGACTTTAACACCATCTACTGGAGGCTTCATATTAAAGCATGCAGCCCTGTGATAAGACTCAAACTGCATCAAGGACATACATTTAAGAAAGTACATGCATGAAGTGAAAGCTAATTTGACTAAAGGGAAATAGAGAAATGCTCCTAATGTTAGTAAATGTTTTTTTTTTATTTTCTGTGGAGGTCAGTTGGGTTACAACATTTCCTGCTCTCAGTCACTGCCAGCTGTGTGTGAACTATTCAACATCAAACAATAGTCCGAGATATGGAGAGTGTGAAGGCCGCGGTGGTGTGCTCACACACGTAGTTAATGATTAAACAAAATATTCTGTGCCAGATTATCCATCATTCATTCATTCACTGCTGATGCTTATTCTGACAGTTTTAATTGTTAATACAGGTGCATCTAAAAAATTAGAATATTGTGAACAAATTATATATTTCTTGTCAGTTCTATCAGAAAGTGAAGATTGTATATATACTGGACCCACACATTCCTGAGAAGAGCTCTACTCAGCTAATTAACTCAGAACACCTGCAAAGGTTTCCTCATCTGTGAGTCTGGTTCAGTACATGCAACAAGAGTTACATATGTAACTATGGTTCTATGAATCCTGGATCCATGGATATTCTGTCACTCAGAATCCTCGTGGTCTTGCGAGAAGATTCTGCAGGATCAGATCCTCTGACAACACCGGAAGATATAGCCTGTCCGGGGTCATCAGGGGGTCACAGGTGACTTTGTTGGTATGGCCAGTTGTCCAGAAGACACTCGCTGACACCCACCACGACGAAGGTTAATTCTGAAAGGGCGGGCTGTTCGCAGTGGTCTCAGAGGTCCAAAGTCCTCTTTTCAGGGGAAAGTAAATTTTGCTTTTAATTTACAGTAGAAATCAGGGGGCAGTGGTGTAGTGGTTAGCATTGTCGCCTCACACCAAGAGGGTTCCTGGTTTGAAACTTGGGGCAGGGGAGCCCTTCTGTGCGGAGTTTGCATGTTCTCCCAATGTCAGCGTGGGTTTTCTCCAGGTGCTCCAGCTTCCTCCCACAGACCAAAGACATGCAGGTTAATTGGTGACTCTAAATTGTCCGTAGGTGTGAATGTGAGTGTGAATGGTTGTCTGTCTCTATGTGTCAGCCCTGTGATAGTCTGGTCACTCCCTTGAGTCAAAATCTCTCTGTCTTACTTCAGCACAATCACCTTTATTGTTTAAATGTTTTCATTAATCTCTGCACTACTTGTACTCTGTGCTTTTATTTAATCTCATGATGATACTAACAGAATCTTATTTTAATATTTGTCTCTACATTCCTCCACGCGTCCATGTCTTTATCTCCCAAAGTTTTTTTCTGATCTGTGTGCGGTTCACAGAAGCTTAAGTCTCCACAGCTGGTTAAAGAGGAAGATAAACAGACCCAAAACCCTGTTCAGGCCGGTGTTAATGTTTCTAATATTTATACTGCATGTGACAAGAATCAATATTAAACCTGTGCAGCTGATAAGAAATACACTTCACACCTTCGTCAGTCAATTTCTGTAGATAGACAACTCTGGGCTTGAGGCAGTTTAAACATTTGTTCTGTAAAGGAATCCAGCCTAAGTCATTTATTGACTTAGAAATACCTTTTTAAAATTACAGACAAGACAACAGAATTAGAGGATAAAGGAGGAGGATATTAAACCAAAGAATTTTATGTTTTTTTTTGCATCTCTTTGTCTCTTGGTTTAAAATTTGTCAAAGAAGAATTTGGCTTTAGATGACAATACACAGCCATGTAAAAGCAAGACAAAACATTTCTAAATTGTAAGCAACAAAGGTTAAGAAGCTAAATTCAAATGTATTCATACATTTGTCCTGTTCACGTTATACACTCATGAGTGCAGAAGTTTTTATCCCAACAATCACGTTATTAAATTCTCACTGCAATCTTAGCTCTGTTGAAAAAGAACTGTGACCCATCTGACTACTTCTTGGAGATTCAGAGGTTTGTGAAATGGTGTGAGGATGATCACCTTGCTCTGGCAGCACACACATATACACTCACTGGCCACTTTATTAGGTACACCCTTCTAGTATCAGGTTGGACCTCTTTTGCCTTCAGAACTGCCTTAATTCTTGGTCATAGATTCAACAAGCTGCTGGACACATTCCTCAGAGATTTTGGTCCATATTGACATGATGACATCACACAGTTGCTGCAGATTTGTCAGCTGCACATCCATGATGAGAATCTCCCGTTCCACCACATCCCAAAGGTGCTCTATTGGACTGAGATCTGGTGACTGTGGAGGCCATTGGAGTACAGAGAACTCATTGTCATGTTCAAGAAACCAGTTTGAGATGATTTGAGCTTTGTGACATGGTGCGTTATCCTGCTGGAAGTAGCCATCAGAAGATGGGAACACTGTGGTCATAAAGGGATGGACACGGTCAGCAACAATACTCAGGTAGGCTGTGGTGTTTAAACCATGCTCAGTTGGTACTAAGAAAATCTCCCCCACACCATTACACCACCAGCACCAGCCTGAACCGTTGATACAAGGCAGGATGGATCCATGCTTTCATGTTGTTTACACCAAATTCTGACCCTACCATCTGAATGTGGCAGCAGAAATCCAGACTCATCAGACCAGGCAATGTTTTTCCAATCTTCTATTGTCCAGTTTTGGTGAGCCTGTGTGAACTGTAGCCTCAGTTTCCTGTTGTTAGCTGACAGGAGTGGCACCTGGTGTGGTCTTCTGCTGCTGTAGCCCGTCTGCTTCAAGGTTGGACGTGTTGTTGGTTCAGAGATGGTCTTCTGCAGACCTTGGTTGTAACCAGTGGTTATTTGAGTTACTGTTGCCTTTCTATCATCTTGAACCAGTCTGGCCATTCTCCTTGGACATCTGACATCAACAAGCCATTTTCACCCAGAGAACTGCTCACTGAATATTTTCTCTTTTTCAGACCATCCTCTGTAAACCCTAGAGATGGTTGTGTGTGAAAATCCCAGCAGATCAGCTGTTCCTGAAATACTCAGACCAGCCCAACTGCCACCAACAGCCACGCCACGTTCAAAGTTCACTTAAATCACCTTTCTTTCCCATTCCGATGCTGGGTTTGAACTTCAGCAGGTCGTCTTGACCATGTCTACATGCCTAAATGCATTGAGTTGCTGCCACATGATTGGCTACTTAGCTACCTGCCTCTGACTGACTGGAGGACAAACAGGCTCTGAGATGTGAGGAGATCCAGGACAGATCTGCCATAAACAAGAGACAAACAGAAGCAGGTCCGCTTATGACTCAAACGGCAGAGCCTTCCTGCTGACATGTACCCCCTTGTGGGCAGTCGTTACCATTGAAAACAAAGTTCACATGAAGACAAATAAAAAGAACGGCTGTTTTTAAAGAGGCATTTTGTTTAAAAATAACAGTACAAAAACTCTTCCAGTATTTTCTCCCAGACAGTTGGACAATAATTACAGTTTACAGCATTCAAAAATAACATTTCATGAGTGAGCCACTTTTAGGAATACGCCAACCATTACATGTCACAAGACCCGGTCGAAGTGTTTTTCACTTAAACCGTCCACTGCACCAAATGTGTCTTCTCTTCCAGGTTGGTACATTTTCATATTTTGTTGTTCCAGCAGCAGGTTTAACTTGAAAACATGCACGTTTTTAAAAGGCTGGTAAGGCATTTGAATATTCAACATGTTGCTTTGGTTTGAAATGTTCCAGAGGAGTGTCAGTGATTTTGGCGAAATGTACCGTTTCTCTATTTTTTAAATATTATGGTAAATATCAACAGCAACTGTGTTTTAACAGTATATAAAAAAAGAAAAAAATCATTACAATTTCATTCACTTCGTGGGGCTGGAGAGGCATCAGGGTGACAGTGATCAAAGCTCATACAGTTTGATAAAATCTACTCTACTATATTACAATGTGAGCGTGAGGTGGCCAGCACCTCCAGTCTCTGCCCTAGTAGCTGAACATCTGCTGTGTGGAGCCGCTCTGCTGCTGCGGGGTGGGCGGCTGGCTCTGGACGGGCCGGCCTGGCTCCGGGCCCTGACTCTGGGCCTCCTGACTCTCCCCCTGAGTGCCCTCCACCACAGGGGTGACCTGGCCACCTTCGCCCGCCGGTATGGGCCTCCAAGCCAGAGTCGGGGCCTCCAGCTGGTGGCTCATGGGGTTGACCAGAGTGGTGACGTTGATGAAGTGGGCGACAGACTGGGGTGCCGCACCTCCGCCGGGGCCCACCGTCTCCGGGACGAGTTCGGCTGGTCGGTTGTGAAGCATGGCGGAGCCGCTGACGGTGTCGAAGGTGACGGTGAGGATGGAGTTGTCCAGGGTGAGGGGCCGGTCGCTGGCTGTCAGGTGGCCCACGGCTACAGGCTGCAGGCTGGTGAACTGGGCGGGGGTGTGGCTGGTGATGGGAGTGACTGTGATGTTGGTCAGCCCCACCGAGCTGTTGGGTGAGGAGGCTGATGGAGCGTTGGGGTCAGCCAGGACCACCACCTGAAACAGCAGCAGCAGGTGATTTACTATATACTGTATATAATAATAATAATAATAATAATAATAATAATAATATTATTAATAATAATAATAATAACAATAATGCATTTTATTTCTATGAGTTCAGACTGAGTTCAGGTCTTTGGGAACCCTGCACTATTATGTTATTTCATACTTTTGTGTATTGCACTCTTTTCATCTGCACTATTCTGACTTTATTGTTCTTTATCTTCATCTAAACTCCAACTGTCATCACATGACATTACTTTAAGTGTCAATTATGATTTAATATGGGATGCAACCCCTTTCCTGAGGATTTAATAACACAGATCAAAAAAAGAACTGGAGTTATTACACTTCTCCCTCCAGACATTATAATATTAATTATAATTATTTTGATAATCTAACTGTGATGTATTTCTCATGTGCTTTGTTCAGCTGCTGCAAAGGTGCCACAAAGTGTCTTGTCACCACTGACTGTTAGGTCTTCAGTTTAATATGTAAATATACACTGATCTGCCAAAACATGAAAACCACTGACAGGTGACGTGAATGTGGCACTGACAGTCATGTGGCTGCCACCTGACACGCTCCATCCACCAAAACACCAGTGCAGACCAGGTATCCCCCCTCATGGCAGCAGCACTCCCCAGTAGCAGTGGCCCCCCAGCAGGACAATGTGCCATGCCACACCACAAAAACTGTTCAGGAATGGCCTGGGGAACATGACAGAGACCTCAAGGCATCGACCTGGCCTCCAAATTCCCCAAATCCCAGTCTGATCAAACATCTGTGGGACGTACTGTAACCCAACCTCACAACCCACAGGACCCAAAAGATCTGAAGCTAACGCGCTGGTGCCAGACACTATAGGGCACCCCCCAGAGGTCCTGTGTTCATGCCTTGACAGGTCAGAGCCAAGTCCAGTCCAAGGAGCACCCACTGTGGATCGGGGGTACCTCTGGGGTACCAGCACGTCCCTCAAATGTTCAATCAGATTGGGATTTGGGTATTTGGAGGCCAGGTCATGTGGTCTTTGTCCAATTCCTTGGGTCATACCTGAGCAGTTCTTGTGGTGTGGTGCACTGTCCTGCTGGGGGTCACTACCATCGACAAGTGCCATTGCTATAAGGGGATTTACTTGGTCTGCAACAGTGTTCGGGTGAGTTGAGCACATCAAGTAGCATCCACATGAATGCCAGGACCAGAGGTTTCCCAACAGAACACTGCACTGTAGCAAGATGATCAATGCTGTTCACTTCACCTGTCAGTGGTTTTAATGTTTTGGCTGATCGGTGTAAATACGTGTAGGAAGATTTTATGGTTGGTTAATGTGTTAGTGTGATGTTATGACATCTGTCAATTTACTAGTTTCATATATATTTTAAACTCAGTTGGATTTTTTACAAATATCATGAACATAGTTGTGAACATTCTCTGGTAATTATAATCTTAAGTGGGCAACTGGACTTGCTTGAGTTTCTTGAAGACTTGAAGACACTCAAGCAAGTCCAGTTGCCCACGATATAGCACTTAAGATTATCATGACCTGAGTGACTGAGAATCTTCACTGACATGTCTCTAGTAATTATGCACTCTTGAACTGTTACACCAACGTCCTCAGATCATATTTATATGCAGCCCTACTTAGTTTATCATACATACTGGTGAGCTGTTTTTGGCACTGTATATACTAAATCGCATCTTATGTGCACCTTACTGTTATCTAGTTAGGGCCCGAGTACGCAGTGTGAGGACAGCATTGGAACTGAAGGAATTATTATCGTAATTTTTCTATGAAAATAATCACATTTTGAGGGGCTTAATGTGCTCGAAACCTCATGAAGCTTTGCACACACATCAGAGCTGGTGAAAATTTGATACGAGGGTCATCATCAGGCTCATAGCTGGTTTCATCGTCACATATGAAACTTGGTGGTACACACAACATACCAAGATGCACAAAAAAGTCTCTTGGAGCCATACCCAACAGGAAGTTGGCCATTTGGAATTTACTGTGTGTCATTTTTGGCTGTTTCCATGGGTCGTACTTTAACAAACTCTAACTACTAGAGTCTTCAGTATGTTTGCACTCTTTGTATCTGCACTCCAACTTTGTACTGCAACTTCTGCACAGCAGCTTCTCTCATCTCATCTCATCCTTTCAGAGGGACATTTTATTGCACTTTGATGACAGTTGGATGTTGTCATCAGTCATCACATCATCTTATAGCTCTTCGAATATTTAACGAAACAAAAAGAAAATCAAGTTTCTCTTGAGACAAAGCCATAGGCAGCGTTATTTTCCACCAAATGCACATCATCACTGTTTCTGTGCATTTTTATTTATTCTGTTTGCCATCAGCAGGATGTGAGCAGCTTCTGTCTCTGGGCATTTGGCACTCCAGCAAACAAAACTTCAGCCCATTTCTTGCTGTCTTTGAAAAGAGAGATTGGACGTGTTATTATGACAATAAAACAAAAGCTTTTGTAAGAACCTTCATATCTACCTGTTGGATACTCTGCACAGCAGAGCTTGTCTCATGCTCATCGCCGACGATGACAGCGTTGAATTCTGCCATTTGCTCTGCCGCGAGCATTCTGTGCTCGTGCCGCGGCTCGGTGAAATCAACATATTCATCAGACTCGGAGAGCTCTGGCTCAGCTGGGACTCTCTGCTTCTTCTTGGGGTGTCGGGAAGGACGGCTGGGCCTCTCCTGAGGCATGCCATCTTTTTCCAGGGTCAGAGTGGGCTGAGGAGGAGGGAGAAACATATCAGGAGAACATATGGACAGGGACAAGGGAGATTTTGTTATTATATCTGCTGGGTGTAAGTCTGGAGGGGATCGTGAGTATGGTCATGTGCATCTGTCCGTTAGCCAACTACTGGACCAATCAGCCTCAATACTGTGGACACATTTATGCCTGTATGCTCAAGGATGTCTCGTGGCTGCAGTGATTCACAATCGTTGAAAAATGACTATTTTTGGCTGTTTTATACTGTCATGAACTGTTGACTCGTCGGTTGCAGGCCACATTTTGGCTTTCGTCGTGGCTCAAAACTGACATCCAAAGAAAAGTTTTGTTACATTTTGATCTGCTGATTAATTAAATAACGTTAGCATGTTATATTTGTTTGGAAAACGTGTTTAGTATAAGACAGTTGTTTTGTCAGTGAACCTTGTGAGTTGTAATGAAGCCAAATTTTGTGACACTAACTTTGTTAAATGTTGCTGTGTCCCTGGCTTCATATGAGTAGAGGAAAAGTCTGCTAGCTAATTTATACAATGTAAAATGCCATAGACTTGTGCTAGAAACATTAGCATGTTGTATTTGTGGGGAAAATGTGTCCAGATAAAGTGCTTTGTCTGTGAATGCTGCGAGTTATAGTGAAGCTGATTTGTGTACTTGTGTTTGAAATGGTCTTTATTAAGCCATGTTTAATGTGCGTTTAATGTGTGTTTTGAATCAATTAAACTTTACAGAACTTCACAGAAACCAAGTGACACAGACACACTACTGCATAAGTATAAATGCTCACAACGGCGTAGGCCACGTGCTTAGGCCACGGTGTAGACTCTTTGTGGAGCTGATGCACAAGTATGAATCCCGCTTTAGTCAAAAATAGACGAGCAGAGTATTTTTATGGCTTCTAGGACGCTTCTGAAATGCACAGCAGGTCTGCTGGAATTACAAGAATCGTCTATAGTGGCTGCAATCGCCTGGTGGAGATCTGAACGTTACTGAGTGCACTCTTCTATCTCATTTTGTCTTTCTGCAAACACAGACATTTCACAGAGGATTCATTTAATACCAGGCACAAAGGGAGTCATAGTAATTTTAGGGTAGTAGCAGTGAGCAGTGAGTGTTTGTCTGATTCAGGAACTCTTTATATTTGCACTCTGACAGTTCCTTAATTTAGTGTACATCAAACAGCACAAGGAAGTTGAGAGTATAAGGACCATGATATACAGTATGACAGACATTAATGTCATTTTAGCATCTGATTCATTAATTTAATGCATTGTCAAAGAACTGTAATCTAACCTGCACAATGCTGATAGAAGAATCATTGATTGTCGAGGGTTCCTGAAGATCATCAAACTCATCTATTCTTACAGACACCACCTGGAGGCACAAATGAGGACAAACACATTTCAACAACTTGACATTTAGGACTCAATAACACAGTGACTGCCTGGGTGGTAAAACACTACAGAAATGACTCACCTCTGGGTGTTTGCGTCGCAGATGTCGGTTCATGGAGGCGCGGGTGGACACCTTGGTTCCGCAGAGCTGACACGACTGGGCCTCCACCTTTTCATGAGTGAGGTGGACGTGCTTCTGCAGCATGTACTCGGTCAGGTATTTCTTATCACACGTCGCACATGTCCACGTCTTACCCACTGCAGTGAGACAGAGAGAGACAGGGTCAGTCCGGCTACATGCTCTGACGTTAACACTCTGCAGACTCATTTAGAGGTCTGATCGCTTAGTCGCAGAAAAAGAAAAAAAAAGTGAAACTCTATTAGGAGCTTCACAAGGGCAGGAATTTAGATTTTTTTTATGTCACTTTTCCCTTTCTGTTCCCAACCCAACCATCTTCTTCCCTCCAACTTTTAGTGCTTTACAGTAAACGTGTCCTTTAATTTTTGGGGTGGTGTCCTGGTTTTTTTTTCTGGATGCATAAATCAGGCTGCAGGACCGGTTCCTGTCCAACCATAAACCGCTCCGTTTTTCTGCCTCTGAACATCGAGGGGAGGAAAAAAAGGCCAAATTACAGGCTCCCATGTTCAGCTTGTAACTGTCGTGTCACAGACTGAGCAGTGTGCTTCAGCCTGGTGTTATCTCAGCCCGACACGAGACACTTGCCTGTGTGGATGAGCTTGTGTGTTTCCAGAGTTGTCCTCTCGCTGAACGTCTTTCCACACAGCTCACACATAAAGTCCTTTATACCTGCAAGCAAAGTCACACAAACAAGCATTAACATGACCTATATGAAGTTTGCACTGTCAATGTCACGTGAAAATGCACATGTAGCAGCCAACTGTCTTTGTCTATTTAAAGGGTGACTTAAAGGGAAATTTTGGTTTATTTCAACCCGTCTCCTATCGTCCTAAATTTGGTTCAAGTGACTAGTGACATACAGATAATAGTTAGCGACAGGAGACGGGTTGAAATAAACCGAAATTTCCCTTTAAGTATTTTCCGACCTGGACGCTGTGTACTCAGGTTTCTGTGTCGTAACTAATGGGAACAACAGTTTTTGAAAGTGGTCCAGTATTCAACCAAGGCTCTGCAGCTGGCAGCGGTGAAACAAGCTGCAAATCAATTGCCGCCAATGTATGTCCAATAAAACAGCTTGTTTTTGCCACTGACAGATATTTATTTTATTTACCTTTTAATTAGAGAGTAAAATACTTTTTGTTGTGTGGCGTTAACAATTTTGGGGCTTTTTCTTGTTAAACTAAAAAGGTCTCTCTCTGTAGGGATCCTGTCTATAATGTTGTCAGACACTTCAAATAACAGTCTGGGCCTGTCAGTGGCAAAAACAAGCACTTTTAGTGGACATAAATTGATGAACATGCCCCATGGTTATACTGCAGCTTGATTCGCTGCTGCCATCTGCAGAGGTCTCCCTCAATACTTGACTAATTAAAAAAATTATTGTTCATATTAGTCACTTAGACACAAAACATTGGAAAAATACCAACTTACCCTGCTGCTCCTTTATATTGAATGCCAACACACACACATTCTGACTCACCCGTGTGTCTCTTGTAGTGTTTCAGCATGTTGACCTTTTGGGCAAACTTGCGGTTACACTCCTTACACTCGTACTCTTTGATGCCCTTGTGAAGCTTCATGTGGTGCCGCAGAGCGTGCTTGGTCTTCATGCCTGCACAGGAAAAGACCCACTCAACAACTATTGTATGTGGATCGTGCTGTTGACACGGTGAGGAAAAATAAGTAATGAGGTGTGTGATGCAGCAGCGAGGACCTGACCTTTCCCACACTCTGCACACAGGAAATCCCGGATGTCATCGTGAACCCTGAGGTGCTCCTTCAGCATGTCCTTCCTTGCGAATGATTTGCCACACTTGTCACAGCTGTGGCTCTTCACCCCTGGATGACCAAATAGCCACACACACACACACATAGACACTCAAATACCACGTGAAATGAAAAAGTACGTCTCTGTTCACATATGAGGAAAAGTGATAACATTTCACACAGGGATCTGTTGCTCACCAGTGTGGATGATCTTGTGTCTCTCCAGGTTACCAATACTATTGAAGATTCGGCCACATATTTCACACGGATGGATGTACCTTTGGGACAGATGAGCAGATTTAAAATGACTTTGTACAGCAGGTTATTAATTCTATGTTTCAGTTTCACTTTAAAATGGCCTCTTCTGTTCCCAATCAGACCACATACCTTTAGCTACAGTACTGCATTAACTGGAGCTCTCACACATCCTGACCTGAATCTTCTCAACAGTGATCACACTTAATGCCCAGACACACCAAACCAACTTCAGAGAACTAGCAGCAACGAAGGCTCACTGCCGCGTCGCCGTGTCTCAGCCCAAAAGTTGCACATGAACACACCACAAAGAAAAGTCTTGAAGCTAGTTAGAACAAACACAATCCAATGTTGAAAGAACAAAGCATATTTACAACACGCCAGTGAACACAAACCATCACTAAACGTTTCTGCTTGCCGCTAAAGCAAACAGTGACCGACAGCTGACCATCAGCTTTGTTTTTCAGGGCCTTTACATGCAAATTCACAATAAATGGATTGCGGCCGCTAACAGCAGCACAAACAGTGCCTCAAGCGGGATTTGTACTCATGCGGCAGACCGTACACTGTAGCCTGTGCACGTGGCCCTTATAGTTGTGCAGTGGTGTGTCTGTGTCACTCTGCAGTTACACCTCCAAAACACTAGTCAGTGGTGGGGTTTCTGTGAAGTGCTGTAAAGTTTAGTTGATTCAAAACACACATTAAACACACATTAAACATGGCTTAATAGCGAAAATCTCAAACACAAGTACACAAATCAGCTTCACTATAACTAGCAGCATTCACAGACAAAGCACTTGTCTTTATTTGGACACATTTTCCCCACAAACACAACATGCTAATTTTTTTTAGCACAAGCCTATGGCATTTGACTTTGCATAAATTAGCCTAGCAGCTAGCAGACTTTTTTTCTACCCATACGAAGCCAGGGACAACAGCAGCATTTAACAAAGGTAATGTCACAAAATTCGGCTCCATTACAACTCACAAGGTTCACTGACAAAACAACTGTCTTATACTAAACATGTTTTCCAAACAAATACATTATGCTAACGTTATTAGCATAAGCCTATGGCATTTTATGTTGTATAAATAAGCCTAGCAATTAGCAACTCAGAGTCTGAGAGATCATTTTTATTTGGTTTTATTGAAACTGTATCACTTATTTTGTTGAAATTCTATGTTCTTAAATTAGTAATAAAACTTTTTTTTTTTACTGATTTGTCATGTCGTCAAGAATATCCTTATCGCAAAAATACCCTGAAATATTGTGATATTATTTTAAGGACATATCGTCCACCCCTCATTGCAGCTGCATTAAAATTCAAATTCTAACACATCTGCTTCTTTTTATCTCCTGCTTTGTGATCAGCACACATAAAAGGGGATAAAAAAAGGTTAATGGCTTTCACATGGACTCTCCTCATCAGTTCAAAAAAAGTGTCTGTAATATTTTGTCATGTTATCAGACCTCAGCTGGCGCTCCTGTCTCCATCCTTATCCACTGTATTAACAAACATAAAAACCACAACCAAAAATAAGAGGTGGAGTTTTTTTGCTCTGCTTACTTCTGCACTGCAGGGTCAGGCAGCTGTTCTCTGTGGATGACCAGGTGAGCGTTGTACGTGGCCTTCAGCGCAAAGCGTCGGTTACAGATCCCGCAGCCGTAGCCTCGCTCCTTGTGCTGCTCCATGATGTGCTTTAGGTACTCTTTGCCCTTTGCAAATGACAGCTGGAGACACAGAGGCAGGGAGCTCATGGCTGTGTGTAAAAAATGTTTGTATGTTTTGCTTACAGTTAAAATGACTCTGTCTGCTCCTAGCTGTTCATATCAGAGGGCTAAACATTTGATAATCTAAAATGTGCTTCAACTCCCTGAAAAGTTTGGATATTATTACAAGTTATGCAGGCGATCTTTGTGCCTGTCGGGACAAAACTCACTTGGCATTTCTTGCAGTTGTACTTATGGTGCTCGGGATCATCCTCTTCTTCATCATCGTCCGTTTCGTCACTGTCGTCTGCTGAGATGCCGATCTTCTTGATGAAGCCCTCTCGCTCCTGCTCGTCCATCAAGGCGATATCCTGGAACACACACAACTCCTCATGTCAGTGACAGCTGGATCCAAAGGAGGTGTCAAAACCTCATTTAATCAAACATTTATGATCTAAGGTGTTGTTTAATAATGGCAGCGACTTCACCACTTTTACATCTAACATGATGCATTTGAGTCTCAGCCAAGAGTTCTGTCACTACTCTTCTTGTATAGCCTGAAAAGACAGGTGACAAAGTTTAATTACATTCCTGCTGAGTTACATTTCATTTTTATTGGCTGCCCGACCCCTGTAAATATCGTGGTGGCTGATGAGTGAGTGACTACTCAGCAGAATTCCTGGACAATGAACGGACCAGATGAAGGTCTTTAATTCAGTGCACATGAATATAATATGGTTGTGCATTAGAGGATGTTGCAGTGCCTTAACACTGTTAAATGTGTCTCACCTTGAAGTGAACATGGATGTGATCTCGAAGGACGTCCACGCGGAAGAACTTGCGAGCGCAGATCTCGCAGGTGTATTTCTTATCACCGTGAGTCAACAGATGCTTGTTCATGTTGCTCCTGCAGGAGAACACCTGTGCACACAAGTAAGCAAGTCATCGATGGAGAATTTCTGAACACCCATGCTGCTTTTATTTCCTGCAGGACTAACATGCAGTTCTCTGACCTGCTGCCATTCAAGCCATTAGTCTCACCTTGCCACAGATGGGACAGGGCGACGGCTCCTTCCTGTACCTGGTCCCTTCTTCTCCGTTGGCCTCCAGCTCTTCTCTCTTCATGTGCTTTGGTCCTGTCCAGATGCATCATGGGTTTTAGTTCAGCAAAGACAAACAGGAGAAATATGGTGACATGAAACTAAAGGTCTAGTTTGAGGCAAGTTGGGGCTCTCTGCAAACTTTGATCCAGTCCCATGTGTCATAGGGAAATTCACCTAGATTTTGATGATCCACCAAAACATGACATAAATATTCCACACAAATTGAAACTGTTCTCCTACACTTCCCTGTTTGAAAACAAAACAAAACAAAACAAAAAAAAAACACGTCAAAAAACCTAAAAAAACAAACCAAAAGTCAGCCTTGTTCTCTGGACTCACCCACGCCGTGCCTCCTGTGGTGCTCCTGCATCACATCTTTGCGGTAGAACATCTTGTTGCAGATTTCACAGGAGTAGAGCTTCTCGCCGTGCTTCTTCTTGTGCTTGGAAAGGTTACTGTTGGTGGAGAAGAACCGCGAGCAGATATCGCACTGGAACGTCTTGTCGTCTGCAGAGAGAAGAGGAAGTTAAAGTAAGGGCTGGGCAATTCATCAAATTTTATCTTCAATTCTGATTTTGGCTTCCAACAATTAAAATCCACTGTTAAACTGAATTTTATGTTAATGTCCAATAACTGATGATGGTTCCAAAGTCAATGAATAGTCGTGTTGCAAATTGTGATCTCAATATGGACCAAAATCATCGCTATTATGATTTTTGCCACAATTGAGCAACACCATATAATCAATTTAATCTGACAGGAGGACACCTGGCAGGAATATGATCAGAAACAGGGGAAAAGTGAGGAGATATATTCATGTTAAACCAAAAATAATAGAGTATCTGACCTGTCCGGCAGTTGTGGAACTTTAAGGCATTTTCCAGGCGAAAGGATTTCTCACACGTGTTGCATTTATATTTGTACTCCAGGTCAGGCTGATGGGAGCACATAAAATGGAGACACATTAACAAGCGGGGTAAGTAAAATAACTGCTGAGCTCACAGCCTGGAGTTTCACTCACCATGTTCTTGCTGTGCTTGTAAGAGATGTGCTGCTTCAGACTCTCCTTGCGGCTGAACAACTTGTCACATTCATCACATTTGAACAGCTTGTCACCTGGAGGGAACACACGAGGAGGTATTTGAATTATGTGATGAATTCGACACAGCTTTGAAAGCCATGATTCAGTGATCTCCGCATACCGTGAGATCGGATGTGTCTGTTGAGGTTGCTGCTGTTCTGGAAGACCTTGTTGCAGAGGGAGCAGTGGTACACCCTCTTGTGCTCTCTGGCTTTGTGTCTCTTCAGGATGGCCCCGCTGTCTGGAGTGCTCAGCAGGCTGCTGCTCTCTGATGCTGCTGCTGCTGCTGCTGCCTCTAAGGCCACTGGCTCTGAACTCTCCACTGACGGCTTCACATCTGCTCACATCAGGAATCCAACGTCAATGAGAAATCTACAATATTTTGTACGCAGCATCAGGTGCTAATAAGGGTTCAACTGATACTGGATTGAAGACTTGAATACAAGCACACCTTGTTATAAGGAACGGATTACTCTCATGACCATTACAGGGTCATACAAATTAATGCTGGTTAAACTGAAAGACAGATTAATGATTCACTGAAATGTGGGGTAGCTTCCTGAGATTTATTAACAGAAAGCCATAAATGTTTGTCGTGGAGTGTTGTGTGCTGTGGGAAGAGGGTGGGGGGAAATATGAGAACTATCATTCTGTGCTGTCTTCTTTTTGTTTTGTTTTGTTTGTTCGCAGATTTTGTTACCTGCAGACTATCACATGAAAGAGTTTTGTACTATTTTGTTGGAAGATATTTGAGAAAAATGAGAAAAATGTTGCCTCACAGCAAGAGGGCTCCTGCTTCGAATGCAGAGTTTGCATGTTCTCCCTGTGTTAACGTGGGTTTTCTCAAGGTACTCCAGCTTCCTCCCACAGCCCAAAGACATGCAGGTTAATTGTGACTCTAAATTGTCCGTAGGTGTGAATGTGAGCGCGAATGGTTGTCTGTCTCTATGCGTCAGCCCTGTGATAGTCTGGCGACCTGTCCAGAGTGTACCCTGCATCTCGCTCAGTGTCAGCTGGGATAGGGAGTCTCCCTGGAAAATTGAGGGGGTTGGGATGGTTGAGCCTGTTAGGGGCCTTACACATGCCGCATCTGTAACCGCCTGGAAAACACGAGGTCAGGCACTGGGTGCTACTGTTGGGGTCTGTACACATGCTGTTTTTTTTCCACACTTGATTCTATTGTTTTCAATGTAGACACGCGGCAGGCGCGCTCAAATGCCAGAGCGACGCCGTCATGGCTGCATCAAAGCTTTATAAATAAACAAATACGGATGCTGTTCCACTGAGAGTGCTTGTTTTTGCCACCGACAGGCTCAGATTGTTATTTAAGGTGTATGACACCAATGTGGGGGGGATCCCTGAAGAGGCAGACCTTTTTGTTGGAGTGCCCTGAAAAACAGAAACACGCGTGCACTGCATGTCATGTGACTAGGAACAACCAATCACAGCCTGTAGATATCCTTCCCTTCATGTGTAAATATCAGTCTGTGGTAAATATGGAGACGTTAATCATGTTAGTGCAGGGCTATCCAGAGCTTTACATCTGTCCCACAGACAATAGGCCTACACACATACAGCTCCTGGAAGAAGATCAGCTCTGTGCATGGGATTTCAGGTAAATAGGCTATGATACGGTGCTGCTTAGCAACCTCAGACGCAACCTGCCGTCGCACATTCACATATATGTAGTTTTTTCTTTGAGCGGGGAGCGTCACGTAGGTTTACATTACCAAAGGTTTATGACGGAAACACTTGACGACACCGACTCCTGTGTGCGCACGGTGAGAGAGGAGGGGGAGAGACGCAGTGCTGCTGCCAGAGGAGCCGCTGAATGAGTTCCCTCTGAGCGGTAAGTCACTAAAAGAGTCTGAGAAGTCTGGGGCTATTCGTAAAACATTCAGGACGCCACAGTTTATTCCACACTACTGAAGCTGCTCCTCTTTTTGGAACCACTGCAGAGTCGGTAATAATTTCTCTTTCAGCCATGCTTGTTGTTGCCTTGGGTAACAGTTAGGGGTGTAAATTACCAGCTTCATCACGATACGATATTATATCGATTTGATTTGGATGATGATACGATGTTTGCCGATATCACAAAGTCTGTCACAATACAATTTTGATTCAATCCGACTCAGGAGCCTGCGATTGATATAACACGATATCATATGCCAATCTAACACAATCATTTACATCAACTCACAAAAACAACTAGAATATGATTTGACCATTTTATTTCTGAGCTCTGTTTGTTGATTGAGCGGAGGCGCGCTTGCCCAGAAATGGTGACACAGACGTGCTATGTGAATTTCAAAATAAATGTGTATCTTTAAGATGATGATATGGATCAATGTTTTCATTCTGCATCAATATAATCGGATCGTTAATCAATGAATCGATGTGGATCGATGTATCGTTACACCCCTAGTAACAGTGTGACGTCAATATCAACAAATCTAAATCTGTCTGGATCAAAGTGGTGGACTGACCGACTTAGCCAAGCTGTTAGCGTGGCTAAAATGAAAAAGCAGTTATCTGTATACAGTATTAGATACTGTATTTCTTCCACAGTGATATATTTGGAACATTTTTCCAGAATGCCGCTTGACAACTTCTGCAGAATGTGTCTGAACCTGTTGCAACTTGTTCAGTTCAGAGTTAGGTGTCAAACATGTAAGAGGACAGAGTGACAGTGATGTCGATGTTATAGTGGAAGCAAGTAGAGGAAAAAAAGTGAGAGTGGGATCTGTGACATTTCCTGTGTGTGGGATAGTTAGTATTTTTATTATGTGTTTTAGTGACATTTCCGCTCAAGCCTACCTGTTTTGTTCTTCCTCACCTTTGTGTTTGCTCGCAGTAGCTGCAGCTCCAAGCCTGCGTCCCTTAGCTCTCCTCCCTCGGCCATGCCCTCTCTTGGGGACCGCCTGAGCTGTGGGGAGGTCCCCCTCCTCCTCATCAGGGCCCACCAGGCTCTCCTCCTGGGGCAGGAGCGGGTCGACCGGAAGCATCTGTGCTGTCTTCACCTCGTCCAGATGACTCAGCATGTTGCCTGGGATAAACAACAGGAAGTTGGGGATTCAGAGGGTGTAACCATGACACAGCATTTCCTCAGCTTAGAGAGGTTTTGAATGGACATCCACTCCTGTTGGACTCAATGTGGAGACGAACAGCTGACCTAGACGTGACCCTAAACTTCCCTCTTGGTGATAGAAGATGACATTTCTAAGATGTCCTGACTAGAGGTGATGGATGATTTCAATGATCTTACCTGCACTGTTTTCTCCAGCCACTGGGGGCATGTGAGCTCCAGTTTTCTCCGAGCACTCTGTCACCTCTGAGTTTAAGGGAGAAAAACTATGATACAACTGTCACCATGACACGCTACAAGCATCAGTGATGTAATGTCATCTACCTGGTGGAGGTGCTGGTTGAACTGGAGGCTTAAGCACAGGCTTCTCCATCTTCTTGGCATAAAAAGCTCCATACCAGACCCTCAGCTCTGTTCCTGGGAGCACATCCTGGGAAACAAAACACCAAACTGCCATTAGAAATGAATGAGCTGCACGACTTAATGAGCCTCTGAGATCTTGGACCAACAGCAGCAGCAGCTTTAGGATGGATACACGCACCTGGGAGGTGTTGAAGTACACGTCATCGTCCTGCTGGTAGGCTGTCAGATTCTGGTGTTTGTGGTCAGTGGCAGGTCGCACCAGCATCATCCAGTTGCAGTCTTCTTCACTGCTGGAGTCAAAACACATGACCACGGCATCCTTCTGGAAGATCTGCCCATCAAAGGATCAAGGATTAGCAAGACAGGAAGCTAAAACAACCACATCCAGACATTTATAATAGAACAGCGTGTTTGCTCAGGATTCATCAGGTTGCACCTTAAGAGGGAACGCTCCTTCTCTCTCCAGGTGGGGGACCCTCTTCGCCTCAAAGGGCCCAAACCGGGTCCTCTTGACCAGCCGGCGCAGGACAAACACCCCCTCCTGTCCATCAGCCACCGGTCTGATCTCCAGGCTGTTTGGTAAAGACGACCTGATCCAGGGGGAGAACAACTTAGCATGACTGCTATGAAATGGCACAAAAATAACACAAAAATCATTTTTATTATGTCTTTAATACTTCACTTTGTGTTATGTGAATACAATAACTCCATCATATTATCAGGGGCATTTAAAAATATAATGTGGATTTGCCTGGAGATCTGAATTTAGCACGTGTGGGTTGGAACCTCCAAGTGCCAGACAGTCAACAATCCACAGAGGGCTCCTTACTCCCAAAATCTAATAACATGACGCTTGTAAACTCTTTGGAGTCTCTGTGCTCCGAAACGAGCACAGAAGTCAGGGCCAGTTTGTACTTCAGTGTCTGGCTTGAGGACACCTCAGCAGGGTTGGTGATCACCAGCACCAGAGAGCTTTGAATCTGCATCCTTTGTTTTAAAGGTTGAATGTTAGAAAATAAACTTAAAGGAACACTTCACGCCCCTAATGACTGTTTGTATATCATTTACTCACCACATGTTACACTGAATGTGCAAAGAAATCTTTATTTTTCTTGCGCGCCTTTAGTGAAAGAAGATTCCAAAGTCAGAAAAATTCTTAATGAACTGAAGTCATAGGGGGCCATGTTTAATACTACCGTCAAAACATCTGTTGACAAACTCTCGCACAACTTGTGCAGCAAAATCCAAGTCTCATTCATCTAGTTGTATGCTCAGCACATCCCAAACAGACAGCCCTTTCTGACGGGGAAGTGAACTAAAAGCGAAACTTATCTACGCTCTCTTCAAAGCCAGACTATTGACGAAAACAGTAATTAACCTCACTGAACACGGGAGCTGCTGCTCTACGACTGCCTCGATCAGTTATACCCCTTTTCCACCAAAACTAACCCGTATAGGCAAATACTTTAACGTGGAAAACATGCTAAAAGTTGGCGACCGATTCCTTTCTCATCCCATTGCCAGTAGACCATACACACACACACATATATATACACAT